AAATAATGAGCAATCAGCTACCCTGATGCTCGGGGCAGGCTGGGCAGGGCTGAGGGAAGGGGTAGAGAGCTGAATCATTTATAAAGCTTAATAAAGATGCAGATGAGCGGTGCTGAGTAGGAACCCCAGAGCTGGGCTTATTCATTATTCAAAGTTATGTAAATGCCACTGGGCAGGCATGCTAGAATCCTGCCCCTTGGCCCTCCCCCTCCCCCACCCCGTCCCAGCAGACAGTTCCAACCCTCCTTGAGTAGACCCTCCTACACCCAGCAACCCATCTCCAATCTTGCAGGGTAATAGGGATCCTAGCTAGCAGTCTTCCAGAGGGATTTTCACAGGCCCTGGCCTTCAGGTGAGCCTCTCCAGACCCAAGGAGAAGGTCTTCTCCATGCCTATGAAACCTACAGAAAGTGCTCAGACAGTGCTCATGTCCATGTCTTAATACTTCACATTTCTGCCTAAGGGGATAGATTTCCTGAAGTCTAATCTAAATCCCTCTTGCTGCATAGAATGTCCAACACAGAAATATCCACATTCTCTTTAATTGCTCTCCTCGTGGAGCGAGATGCAGGCCTGCCTAGAGTCATTTTCCAGCTTGTGTCTTCAAGGCCAGCTCTTCTGTTTGCCTTGTTTTGGCCCCTTCCAGGTTGGATTCACATCCCTTAAGCTCTCAAGCCTGTTCAGGAATATCAAACTTTGCCGAAAGTTGAACCAGGCCTGACCTTCAGATCCCTGAGCTCCTGTGGCCTGTCCTCCTCGCTGCACCAGTCTTTCCCACCAAGACCTCATTTGTCAACTTGGTGAGGCTGAGGGATGAAGAATTGGGTCAGAGTGGGGAGCGGCATCGATCGCCTCGGCTCCCCCCCTTTCCTGGCCTGGCGCTCGCTCTTTCCTCTGCAGCCTCAGTCTATTTTTAGCCAGCCTCTGTTTTCCATAGTCTGGTTGGCAACCACTCTGGCCTCTTTCTCTTCATTGCCCTTATCTCTCCCTTGCAGCCTGTGCAGACCCCAGCTGCCCCTCCTGAGGACTCTTACAGCCTCCCAATTGCTTTGGATTTTCTTCCATCTTGAAGATATGTAGGGGCTGCCCGCAAGGGGATGCCTGGCTGTGCTCAGGCGAAAGGGAGGCAGTGAGATAATGCTGTGTTGCACAAATCCTTCAACTATTACAGAGGCCTTCACGTCATCTTCCAACCCCTTCTACAGTGACTTCTGCTTCTCTGTGCTCCCAGACTTCTCCCTGTCACCTCTCCTGTGACCCCATCCAACTGTAACTAAGAAAAGCTCTTTCCTCCCACCCATGCACACTGGGCCTGGGCCTCTGGCTTTGTGTGTACCATGCTCCTGCAGGCCCTGCTTCCCTCTTTGGTCTGCAGGTTGCCAGTCTCTCCTTACCTGAGCCCTGTTTCAGCCCGTTCTTTGCTAGCCTGGGCCCACACACCCTTTGGCTACTGCTCTGTAGCTCTCCAGTTGTAGCTTCCATATGGACTCTCTTGTAAAGGCCTAAGACTGCTCGGGCAGGGTTGGGTAGCCTCCCCCACTTGTCCTTTCTCAGCCTCTGCAAGACATTGGTCTCCCCTTTTGGCTGTCACTGACAAGCTGAATAAAGCTGGATATTTTGGAAGGGGAACTGCAGCTGGCTGGGGGAGGAGGATAGTGCATCAGAGAGGCAGAGGAAACAGAAGGCAGGCGGTGGGCCACGGAGCAGAGGGATGTTCCTTAGACGGCTCTCGCCAGCTTTGTCAGCATGAGAGTTGCTGAGCTCCTAGGCAGGATGCTGGCCATTCTAAGCATCTGGTCTATCTGACTCCCTCCCCCCACGTGTTATACTGTAACACAGTCCCTTGCTTTGTGGCTCATTCCTTTTATTTTATTTTTCAAACAGAATCACATGGGCCTCAAGTTCATCCTTTTTTTGTTTTGTTTTGTTTTGTTTTGTTTTTGTTTTTGAGACAGGGTTTTTCTGTGGCTTTGGAGGCTGACCTGGAACTAGTTCTTGTAGACCAGGCTGGTCTCGAACTCACAGAGATCCTCTTGCCTCTGCCTCCCGAGTGCTGGGATTAAAGGCCTTCACCACCACCGCCCAGCAAGTTCATCCTTATATAGCTGAGCATGACCTTGAACTTCTGGTCCTCCTGTCTCCGCCATCTAAGTGCTGAGATTATAGGTGAGCACCATGCCTGGTTTACGTGCTGCTGGGGATCTGAACCTGGGGCTTCATGCACACTAGGCAGATACTCTACCAATTGAGCCACATCCCCCAGCTCTTCATACCGTTCTTTAATAGACGGCCAATGCACGGCTCACCCCTAATGGCCTCAGTAAGTCTACTGTTGACCAATCATGGGAAGCCTCAGCTTCTCCCAGAGTTTCTTGTCCTTCCCTAGTCTGATGTCCCCCAAAAGATTATATGTTATAATTTACATGTGTTATAATATACATGTATGCTCTGAGCTGGAGGCCAGCCTGGTCTACAGAGTGAGTTCCAGGACAGCCAGGGCTGCACAGAGAAACAGTGTCTCAAAAAAAATTTTTTTCATTTACATGCATGTATTGCTTACATGTCTCCACCCTGCTACCACCAGCTCCATAAAGGCACGAATTTTTAAAAATCATGGTAGAATACATGCAACATTTAATGTCTTAGCTATTTTAGATGCGTAGTTAGCTCAGTGACATTAAACACATTCACGCTGCTGTGTGACCAACTTCCAGAACTTTTTTCATCCTCTAAAACTAAGGCTCTGAATCCATAAACAAAGCAGTTTCCTCTTCCTTCTCTCAGCCCCTGGGAAGACACATTCTCTCTCTCCCTTTGTGAATTTCACCGCTGGACTCACACAAGGGCATCTGCACAGCGTTGGCCCTTCTGTCTCTTCACTTATTTCACTTAACATGTTCTCATTTCAGCCATGAAGGAGTATATGTCAGGGTCCTCTTTTTCCTTTTCCAGACCTAGTACTACCCCATGCACAGACTACGTTTTTGTTCATCCATTCATGTGTTAATGGACATCTGGGCTGTTTCTGCCTCTTGGCCATTGTGAATAATGATGCCATATAATCATGGGTGTATAAATAGCCTTTTGTGACCCTACTTTCAAATCTTTAGGAGATATTCCCAGAAGTGGAACTGCCAGATCATAAACTACTTCTCTTTCTGATTTTTTGAGGCCCTTGTGCCGGCTAGGTTTATGTCAACTTGACACAAGCTAGAGTCATTTGGGAAGAAGAACTGAGAAAATTCCTCCATAAGAGCAGGCTGCAGGCAAGTCTGCAGGGCATTTTCTTAATTAGTGATTGATGGGGGAGGGACCAGCCCATTGTGAGTGGTGCTACCCCTGGACTGGTGGCCCTGGGTGCTATAAGCAAGCAAGCTAAGCAAGCCAGGAAGAGCAAGCCAGGAAGCAGTACTTGGCCTGCATCAGCTCCAGACTCCAGGTTCCTGCCTGGTTTGAGTTCCTGCCCTGGCTTCCTTCAGCACTGGAGTGTGACTTAAGAGTTTTAAGCTGGAATAAACCCTTTCCTCCCCAAGTTGTTCATGGTCATGGTGCTTTATCACAACTACAGAGACCCTAACTAACTAAGACAGGCCCACTCTGCTGTTTTAGAACAGGGATTTCCATCTGTGTGTTTACTGATTGTCTTGGTTCCTTTTTCTGTTGCTGTGACAAATATCCTGGGGAAAAAGGCAATTTAGGGAAGAAAGGGATTTATTTGGCTTACAATTCTAGATTACAGCCCATTATTATAGGGAGGTCAAGGCAGAAACTTAAAATTTTATCACATCTATAGTCAAGAGCAGAGAGAGAATAAAAGTATGTACCCTTGCTTGCCTGCCCAATACTCAGCTAGCCTTCCGTACCCTAATGGAGAGTGGAGGCCTCTGCCTAGGGAATGGTGATGTTCACAGTGGGCTGGGTCTTTCCATGTCACTAATCAAGGTAATCCTTCAGACATGCCCACAGGTCAATCTAGGGAACTCCTCATCAGGATTCTCTTCCCAGATGACTGTGGATGGTTTTCAGGAGACAATTAAAACTCACCAGCACACTGATGCATCCACACAACACCTGACGCATAACAAAAACTAAGTCAATATTTAAATATCAAATGAGTAAGGGATAATATTTGATCTTTATACACCTCCATATAGTTGGTCAGTATTATTATTGCCATTTTATAGAGACTGAGTTTCTGAGAACCACCTGAAATTGCCCCAAAAGCAGACTTGACACGGGGCTGACAGGATGAGCTGGCTTTTGGAACTCACTGGAGAAATCAGAAAGCTATCGCACATGTCTGGGCCTTTAAGGACTGAGGTAAGTAGAGTAATTTTCTTTGTGGTATATTTCTTTGTGAATATATCATTTCTATTGTTCACTTTCCCTGTCATTTCCTTCTGCCATAGCCACCCCTCGTTGTCCCAGCTTCTCTCTCCCCAGAACATGTAAGATCCTGTTCTCCAGGGTGGAGCTGGCCCTCTCTGGAGGTCCCCTGCCCCTGGCTTTTGGGTACCATCTAAGCACGTCAACCTTGCATCATCCCTGTTCACACCCCTCACCCCTCCACCCACCCAGGGGTAGTTACAAGCCACATTCTCTTCCAAAGCAATTAGTGCAAGGAGGCCAGCCGCCTCGGTGCTAATGCTGTTTCATTAAGTGGGAGCAATCCTAATGATAATAAAATGGCACATTTAACATTCAAACATTGAACGGGGTTTCTAAGCGAGTGTGTCTCTGGCTTTCTTTCTGGTATAACAGTTCCGTCTTCATAAGGACCTGACAATACACCTTAATGAGAGTGTGGGGAACAGAGCATCTTTACAGGCCCAGAGAGAAGATGAGGATGAGACAAAGCAGCAGACAGAAGGGCACAGTGAGTCGACGGGATGGAGACTCTGTGGATTCCTGGGGTAACAGACTCTGTGATACTAATTTAGATCATTAGAGCCGATAAGAAATAGAATTACATAGGAAATAAAGACTTCCTCAGACATTGTGCAATGTAGCTTTTTAATTTTTTCAGCAATATTTTTTTCCTGGCAAATGTTTATTTATTAGAGGTGAGATTTTATGTGAATTGGTGATGGCAACTGGCTCAAACTCTCAGCAAAGAAATCCCAAAGACTCTAGCAGTTTATAAAAGATAATCATTTTTAGCCGGGTGGTGGTGGCACATGGCTTTAATCCCAGCACTCGGGAGGCAAAGGCAGGTGGATTTCTCTGAGTTCAAGGCCAGCTAGTCTACAGAGTGAGCTCTAGGACAGCCAGAGCTACACACAGAGAAACCCTGTCTTGAAAAATAAAAAATAAAAAATCATTTTTACATCACCTAGGCAGATTTAGTCAGACCATGCTCAAGTTTATCCATTGTCCCAGCAAAAAGAAATTTAAGGATCCCCTTAGTCTATTGAGCTATCTTGAGCCCCTCCCCCATTGAGACCTCCATCTTTAAGCTCCTTGCTGTTTTGTGAGGGTGAGTCTCTGGCTGACTTTCTGGGGATGGGAAAAGAGATGGACTCAGGAGAGTGACTGGGAACAGAGGATCAATTATTTGGTGTTTACAGGAGATTCCATAGAAGCAGAAGGACAGGAGACATGCCATGGCTACTTCCTTCTCCTAGACGTCTTCCCCATGAGGGTTCTCCTCCCCAGGAGAGAGTCAGCTGTGGTCAAAGGTGGGCTTTGCTCAGTGTAGAGAAGCGGCTCATTCGAAATGGTGCCAAGTCATAGGATGGTGCTACTTTCATGCTTAGCTCATAGAGGATCTTCCCCACAACAGGGGCCAACTTGAATCCATGCCCTGGGAGAAGAATGAGCCATGTACCTTCAAGTACAGATTCTGGGCTCTAGAGAACTTCCCTCCACACCCAGACAGCACTACCTCTCCTCTCGATCTCATCCCAAAGCTAGAAATTGCCTCCTGCCACAAGTGCCACCTTTTTTGGCTGCCCACCCTCCTTATACACCCAGTGTCCAGACCTCAGTTAATGCATGCAAGATCTGCTTCGGTAGGTCTGCTTGCAGGCTCCCCGCCCCCATCCTCAAGCTCACCAGAGAATCCAGCACCGATGACAATGTTGTCATACTTCGGGTGGCAATCAAGAATGAAGTGCTTATCAGGCGTATTCTAGAAAGAAAGTCATGCCTGTGTCCCCTGAGGAAAGGAAGGGGTAGGAACTACAGGCTCTGGTAGGAGGGAACTGGCCTGGGACTCTTTCAAAAGAGAGCTGGATGGGGCTGAGGTCTGCACCCAACTTGCCCCCACCCCCACTAAACATACTGGTTCTTCAGACACAGTAGGTAGTCATCTTTGTGAACTAACTTTAGCCAAGATGCCTCAGGCCCGACGGCATCTGTCTCTTCTCTTTGTCCCCAAGGCCTGCTCAACTGGGAGCATCTTGCCAAGAACTGTTTTAGAGCTCTTCTGGGAAATATAGGGAAGGACTGCCAGGCAAAAGCCTCGCCGCCTAATAAAAAGGAATATGAATAATCTCTAACAGGCTCCTCTCTTATTGAGGTGAACCAATCCACAGGAATTAGCTGGCTAGTTTAAAGTCACATGATGGGTCAGAGAGGTCAAATGGAGTGAGGCCTGGCCAACTGTGGGTCTGTCTGTCTCCTTCCCTACTCTGTGACTTGGAACAGCCAGCTTACTGTGTACATGCAGCGCTCCATGATGTCTGGCTCGGGCCGAAGGCCTGGTAAGTGATCTCTGACAAAGTGGCGTAGAATCTGAACATCTTGGATGTCTGAGAAGGTTGTGGGGCAGTCCCGCTCCTCTGGGTCCACACTGTCACCATGGTGATAGCAGACCTATGCCCCCATTGGAATAGCACGGGCTGTAAAGCTGGCCTTCTGAACATACCAGCTAGTGAGGGGTGGGTTTGGACGCAGAGTGTCTCTGCCCATCATCCCAATCCCAGCAGGTGCTATGTGTTAGCACCTGAAGTTGCCTAGTGCTCATCTCCAGCCCTACCCTGTCTTTATAAGGACAAGGTGCCCTAGGCCTCAGGGCAGGAGTGGGACATACCATATTATGCTGTAAATGGCCAATAGTGAAGCAGACTCCAGGAGGGTCCCACAGAAGTATGTTAGAATATGAATTAGGTATGAATTCCCAGAATTGCACGGGCACCTAGCAGTATAGTCGCCTTCTTAGCCTTTTTGCTTACCTTCATCAGCCCTGGGTACTCTGATGCTGGAAGTCCGTAGATGTGGTGGGGGGCCAGGTCCAGACTCAGAATACACGGGAAAGCCTGTGATACGCTATAGCTCCCAGGCACCTTCTCTCGATAGTAACACACGTTAATCCTAAGGGTCTTGATGCAGGAGGAAGTAGGAGATAAAGAGGGCAGTCATGGAGCTCTATAGACAACAACAGCAGATTCTGGTAGGGTCCTGTGGTCCTTTCATATTCAACCTGCTTGACCTAATTCTTGTGTCACGTACTTACAATATACATTACGTTGCACAAAGGTCTCCAAGCCTATCTTGTCTCTATTCTTGGTTTTCTCCCACAGCAGCTCCGAAGTCGTCTTTCACTATCTTTTCAGGAATTTGATACACTTCATATTTATTCAGTGCACTATAAGTCTGGCCATCTCCTGGAGGCTCTATACACACCTGATAAATTAGTTTACCAATAGCCTTTTGAGGTAACTGTTATTTCCCACCCTGGTAAACCCGACACTTAATGAGGTGAACTAATTTGTCCAGTGTTGACCACTAGGAAGTGGCAGGTCCAAGGCTAAGTCAAGCCTGGCTGGCTCCAAGGTTTCTTCTCTTAGCTATTGATTCTCCAGCTTCCAGCTTGCCCTACCTGGAGAGGCAACTCAATTCCCAGGGGACGGAGAATCTGGTTGGTCCAGGGACCAGCAGTGATGACCAAGCTGTTGGCTTGATAGCTCTTCAAGGTGGTTTTCACTGTGACAGGTAGGCCAGGTCTTATCTCCACTACCTTCTCTCCATCACACACCGTGCCTCCTAGCTGGCAAATTACATGCTGAAAGGGCAGGCCCAAGAAAGATGAATTAATTAGTTGTGCATGTGGTTCACCCTGGGAGACCAAGAGCCCCTCACTGAGGGCAGACAAGATTGTGGAATCTTAGGATGGGCGACGGTGGCGCACGCCTTTAATCCCAGAGCTAAGGAGGCAGAAGCAGGTGGGTCAGTATGAGTTTGAGGCCAGCCTGGTCTACAGAGTGAGTTCCAGGATAGTCAGGGTGATTATACAGAGAAACCCTGGAGAGAGAGGTGGGAGCGAGGGAAGGAGAGAGAGAGAGAGAGAGAGAGAGAGAGAGAGAGAGAGAGAGAGAGGAAGAAAAAGAGAGAGAGATTGACGAGCGCGCCAGGGGCTTCCTGATGGGGCCATGATGCCCAGAGAAGGGAGCTGTATTTCCCTGGGTCTGCACAACCTTACCTGGAGGGCTCTGAGAGCCTTGTCTGCATAGAGGACACCTCCAGTCTTGTCCAACAGCCCCACTTCTCCCCTGGTGAACTGAATGTTCGGGAAGCGTTGCTTTAAATCCTCTGATGAAAGGCACCCATGGTCAATCCCCTGCCTGGACAGAGTGGCCTGGATTGTCTTTAATTCTGGATTGTCCTTCATCCCCAGCAACAAGAGCTCAGTCTGCCTGTTCCAAAAGAAAAGGCCAGCGGGGTGAAGAATCTGTCATGACCCTGGCCACCTATCCTCATTCCTCAGTAAGGAACCCGCGTCTACAGCGTTACGGCTTGACCTGACATGCAGAGCACACGAGAAGCCATAGATTCCATCTGGGAGTCCGGCATGCCCCAGCTGGTTTTCAGACCATCTCTAAGCCCTCCTTTGACACTCACAGTTGGCTTGCTTGTCCCTCCATCCTGCTCTTGACAGCAGAGGTCCTCCATCCCCACAACCTTTACGACACCTTGGAAATGCAGGTGAAATGCGTTTTCCACCCTTCCTCCTGTTCCCTCTTTGCAGAACCCTCCGTGCTATCCTGTCACCCTTCCTTTCCCATTTCTTACTTTCCCTTCCTCTTTATTTTTCAAAGTTTTATTTTTAAGTTTTTAAAATTTTGCATGTGTGTGTGCACATGAGTGTAAGGGCCCACAGAGGCTAGAGGTATCCGACCCCCCAGGAGCTGGGGTTACAGGCAGCTGTGAATCACCCGGCTCGGTTGCTGAGAATGGAACTCAGGTCCTCTGGAAGAGCAGTGTGCATTCTTAACATCCCAACCATCTCTCTAGCTCCCACCCCGCCTACCTGTCTTCTTATCATATACTGCCTTGTCCTTCTTGTGTGTTTGTCTGCCCTCATTATTTCTTCACTGTGGCTTATTTCATGGAAAAGGAGATCTGGTTCTGCTACTAATCTGGGTGTCACCTTGATGTGACCTTGACCAGATGACTCACTACTCCAAGTCCCAAATTCCTCCTCTGAAACCCAGGACATTGAATGGAAGTGGCACTGGCTGTTTTGTGGTTGTCACGATGTCTGGGGTTGCTGCTCAACATTCAGGGGATGCCACCCCTGAAGCGCTCCAGAAGATCACCGCAAGGATCACCGCAAGGCCTGCGGCACTTTCACACACAAGCAGAGACACTGGTTGGTGCACAGCGCGCCAACAATGAACTCAGAGAGTCTGGTCTGAATCTCACTAGACTTCTCCCGTCCTTCTCACCCTGTGAAGGAGACAGTCAGCCGTTTCCTTTGACGATTCCCGACTCTCTGCCACAACAGACCAGAAGTCCCTTTGGGGGAGGGGCTGTCTAAACAAAGGAAAGGTGCCTCAGGCCCCTGGGACTGCTCCTATGTTCCCTCTTGGCTTCAGCAGCCCCGCACAGCAGCAGCCTGCTGCATCCCCCAGGTACTGCCTACAAAGCTCGTAATAGCCTATAATGGAGTCTCATGGATATTACATGCTTCCAAATCCCACATTATCTGGTTGTGGGGATTAAAGAGGAGACTGGGAGGGGGTAGGGATGCAGTGGGCCTGGGGGCCGGTGTCAGTACACAGAGCCGCGCAGCACGCCCAATCCATTCGCCATGGCCCCCGCCTACCCAGCATTCGTGGTGAGATAGCGACGCCAGCTCTGCCTCTTCAAAGCTCGGTGTAGACTCGATGAGACAGAATCCCCAGCCAGGAGCTAGTCTCTTTTCTGTAGCCTCCCCAAAGAACTTCATTTTAGTTCTTAGGTCATGAAAACTTGCCTACTCAACTTCTTGGTCAACAAGATAATTAAGAAGCCACCCCAAAGGTTGGGAGTGGGGGTGGTGGTGGCTTAGTGGAGAGCGCTTGCTTAGCACGCACAAATCCATGGTCCCATTCCATCATATTCAAAAATAAAAGTACCCAGTGTTTTGTAGTTAGGTTACGATGCTGGAGATGGAACCCAGGGATTCCTGCTCCCTAGGCAAATACCTCACCAAGCCACACCCCCTTGTCTCAGATGTGTGTTTTTGTTTTGGCTTGTTTGAGAAAGGGACTTACAATGTATCCTAGACTGGCCTTAACCTGTGGAGATGTTTCTGCCCTCATCTTCCCAAATGTTGGACTTCAGGCTTGTACCACTATGCCTAGCCAGGTGTTCTTGAACCTTTTTACCTGATGGGAAAGATGCGGCTTGCTGCTCACCTAAGCCGATAAAATGTCTGCTCTCTAGTCCACAAAGACCACAGAGTGACTTAGTCCCTGCCGGCAATATAGCAGCCTTGGCCTCTCACGTGCTCTTCCCTTCTTCCATCTCGCCTTACTTTCTACCTTCCTTCTTTCCTTGAAACAGAACTCTATTTACAGAGACATATTATATTGTAGGGGAAAATGAACTTGTGCCAACACAACGGGCAAACCTGTCGGATTATGAAATGCTGAGTGATGTTCTAATTCCCAAGCCGTCCTATGGTGGATGAAGCCAGAGCTCCCCAACCCTAGGAGTAATCAGTGAGCTGATTCTGCGGTGAATGTAATTGTGCCGATTGTAATCATTTTGCTCCAGCTCTCTGCCCCTGTGGCATTTATTTCTTAGCCCAGATATTGATCTAACAGTGGGAAATTTTCTATCTGAATCTGTGATGCTAGACCCTCCCCAAGTCCGAAGATGTGTTTGGGAAATTCTCATTTTTCGTGGATCACAGCTGAGCTATTTGGCCTGAGGGAAACCGTGCACTGTTGGAGAAATGCCTTGGATTGGAGAGAGATTTTTGACCATTATGAGCAAATCGGAAATAAATGTAAAACACTGCCTGGAAATGCAAAGGCCTGTCATTACGGGAGATAGGTGAGAGGCTCCTGTGGGAAATGCTTGGAGAATTGGAAATCAGTCAATCAAAACCAGGATCGGAGACTGGGCCTTTCCCCAAGTATGAAGACAGATGACTTCCACAGGCAGAGTGAAAATCATTTAAGTGCTTATTTTCTTAATGGTTTTTCCTAGATTCCCAATAAATAGACTACTCATTCTGCATCAATTTCTTACGTCTGTGCTTAGGGCGATTAGGGCCCCGCCTCCTTTTTTTTTTTTTTTTTTTTTTTTTAAATTTGGGCAAAAATTTTTCTGTTGCTTGACCCTGGGGGGGTTTT